CTCCAGAACACCTGTGTGCCACTGCCACTGGGTATGCTAGGAGAGGAAATTGTGACTCTATTCTTAATGTAACTACATCTATTCTGGATAAAGAAATAAAAGCAAACTTATTTACAAAATGTCAAATGAAGCTTTAACCTATGTGTAAAATTTCTAGTTAAGTGTCCAAAAGGAGTTTGAGTGGAAAATGCCTGGAGTTACTGAAGCTAGAATGAACTGCTTCTCAGGTATCAAATTTTGGATTAATTTCCACAGGAAATGCTCTTCTTGGAGACAAGGATTTTACATGCGGTGATTTCTACACATGTGGTTTTCACACATAGGGATCATGAACCTGAGAATGCTGTGTCTGTTGACAATTAGCTTACATCTCACATGGGGCAAGGTACTACATAGAGGGGTTGCAACTACGCCTATCTCATTAACAGCCAGCCAACACAGAGTAATAAGGAAAGTAGGCTGCATCATATAAGAAAAGGGATCTTTATCGGCCAAATCCGCAGAACACTTAGCCTTAGATATTTTAAGTAGATTCATTTGGGTTTACATAAACCTTGATTATAAACAAATACAAGGTTTATTAACAGGATATTTTAATGGTTTTCTTAGCTGTGCTAAAGTTCAAAGAAGTAACTGAAAACATGGCAAATAACAGATGTTTATCTCTGCTCAGTTTTAAAATCTCACTAAAATGAGAATAAGGAAATGTGATTTAAAACTACACGGGTTAAGTGAAAGGGTGGAAGAGACAGCAGCAGGTAAGAGACATCACATTTTTGAAAGATGAAAAACATGTGAAGGAATTAGAGCTGAGAAAAGCAGGCACTAAGGGTTAATGTCGGGAAGGCCAGTTCTCACCGCAAAGCCCTGAAAAAGCTCAAGAACTGAAGGCACCAAATCACTGAATTCAGGAAAGAAGCATGGGTACCATATTGGGGGGGGGAGGCTTTGAAAGTCTGTATGAGCAGTTTTGAGACCATAACAGAAGATTAAAGCTTAGTTACGTAGAAATACTGAATCAATCACAGCAGCAGGTGGAAGAGAAGCAACAAGAACAAGAGAAATCTACATCGTAAACGTTGAGCCCCGCTCCCCCCTCACACACCGGGTAAGACCCTCCCCCTGCCCCCCCCCACCTGGTAAGAACCTCTTCATATCACTTAACTCCATTACCAGTGGCACCAGGATTATCGTCTACCAGTAAGACACTGGAAGATTCTTCTCTAAGGAAACTGCTCAGCCTTAGACATTTGCAGTCCAGCAAGATGGTCAAGTAAGTTCCTACATTATCACCCTCTGTGGAAAACATCCCAGTTAATAGGCCTACCCACGCAAACAGTTTCCCAGGATATTTTTATTGCCTTGCTTTTAAATGATAACACAGGTACTATAGACTTAAGAATGTTTCCAACATAAAAGGCAGACCAAAGCAAATTTGTAGGAAACAGACAATACAGGAAGTAGAATAAAAGTTCAAAAAAATTATTCTTCTCTTTGGAAAGATAAGAGCACATATTGCATCAAAGAAACATGAACAAGGTGCTATTTTTTAAAGGCAAAATCCAAGTGAGAAATCTCTTAAAAACTTAAATACAGCAGAAATTTAAAATTTAGATGTTTGAAATACTGACTTATGAAAATCTGATATAAAAAAGAATAAAAAACAAAGATGGGAAATAGGAGCTAAAAATAAAATAAGGAGCTCAACCCAGGAGATCTAATATCTGACCAACAGAACTTGCAGAAAAAAAAAAGAAGTGGATCAGAGAGAAAGAACACTGGAAAATTCCCCAGAAAGTGAAAGATGGTTCCACATGGAAAAAGCCTACTGTGTGCCCAACAGAATATCTTGAGAAAAGATCTATACCAAAGCACATTATTGTGAAATTTTAAAATATCAAGGATAAACATACAATCTTAAGGTTTAAAGAGCAAAGTAAAAGGTCATTTATAAAGAATCAAGAATTAGAATAGCACCGGATTTCTTAACCACAAGCCAGAAGACAATAGATAGAAGTCTTTAAAATTCTGAGAATACTATTCACAGCCTATAACTCTATATCCGCCCAAACTACCTTCAAGCATATGGATGAAATAAACACATCCTCAGAAATGCATTGCTGGAAAAAGTATACCACCTAAGTACACATCTTTAGGATGCTACTGGATGATACACTCCACTCAAACAAGGAAATGGACTAAGAACGGAAAATGTAAGTTCCAAGACACCAGATGTAACACAGAGGAGAGACGTCAACTCTATAGGAAGCTTAGAGAACTAACAATCCACAGCAGAACAGGAGAATTTTAGCTTCCAGAAGTATTTCCAAGAAAAAAAAAAAAAACACTTGGAGTATTTAGTGTACTCTTTAAAAAATATTTTTCAAAGAAGTTTTAAAATTCTTTCAGAGTATCTGACAAGAATTAGTGATAGTGCCATAAAAAATAGAGCAAACCAAAAAAAAAGAAAACTCAGCTGGAGGATAGAACAGGAAGGAGGCCACAGGATGGTGTAAAAATGTTAACTCATCATCAAAAGTAGGAAGCCAATATAATATATAAGCGTATTATTAAGAAATATGGAGGTTAAAACCAAAAGAAGGTGCTAAAGACTTCGGGCAAAGAAATGCACGAGTAGGGAAGGTCAAGGGATACTGTTTTCTGTTATGTTTTACAGTATGACTAGAATTTTAAACTATATACTTGTATTATTTTCATCCTTAAAGGTTTGGAAGCTATCATAAGCACCAATAAAGATTTATATTTATTTCTGAAAAATCTAACTTAGGATCATCTCTAGCTCAAACAGACATATTTGAGAGTATTAAGATTGAAAATGATATCTGCGATCATTAGCGGATCAGAATTTTCTCTGACAACGTTTTTCCAATCTCCTGATTAGATGTTATATTATTGCATCATGCCAATTCAACAATAGCAAAAACCAAACAAACAAACAAAAAAGCTATTTTAGGAGAAAAGTACTAAGTTTCTGATAACATACCATTATTTTCACTTCTTTTTTTGTGCTCAAAAGTATCCAATTTTTTAAAGTCAAAGAGGTTTTTAAAGTATTTTTCTTTTTGTTAAGAACTCACAATAAAATTTCATGGTTATAGGAAGACTGAAAATTGAGATGTCCACCCTGAAATAAAAGAGCACATTTTGTATTTTATTAATGAAATCTTAACGTTGACAGAAAGATGCTATCTTTCATTTACTCCTTTCATTGTTTCTGAATTGTTTAAAAAATCCATTCATAAATATTCAGTTTTACTTATATCTTTCTTTGCCTGGTTTTTAATACTTTGATAGTGATACATTCTTAAACTCATAACAGCAGCAGATGGCAATTGTGAACTAAGGGGATATGTAGTGGAAAGAGGGTTTTCTGTTTTTGTTTTGTCAGAGATGGACAGACCCAAATTCAAGTCTTAGCTATGTAAGACTTGGGCAAGCCCCTTCTGTGAGCCTCAGTTTCTTCATCTACAGCACCTACCCTACAGGTTCATAATAGGATTAGAATAACACATGTAAAGTGCCAGCAAAGGACGAGATACAGAACACATAATGATGGCAATCTTCCTTCTCTTCCTTATCTTCTCTGTGGCCCAAGAGGCTTAATTTTAAATAACTTGTAGACTTTGCAGTTCAAGTAACTGAGCTCTTGGTTCTTCCATTTATTAGCCTGCAACCCTTGGGGTATTTATACATCTTAATCTTGATTCAGCAATTCATGGGCATAATCATAAGGTGATGAGGGAGTGGGGAAGAAAATATACTTTCTGCTAGCACAGTAACTGGTATATAACAAGTTCTCAGAAACTAGCAGTAATAACAAGAAATTAAGAGATGGTTTCCCTCTATTCATGGCTACTTAAAGCAAACTAAAGTAACAGAAATAACTTGGTTAAGAATAGCATTTCATGAAGTTACACTGACATGTGACCTGATTTAATGACTTCCCCACAGAAGACAGAAAATGCCTTCCATGATACATCTGAATTCACATATGTACCATCTGACAGAATTACTTATCTATGTCTACGTATCAGTTTGATCCATTTGTACCATCCTTTCCTCTGTGCCCTCTCTCCACCTTCATGTATTTTATTTACTTGTCTTTTTCTATCATTTGGTTAACTGACCAAATTGACAAGCAACTCCTTGAATCTGTCATTGAATTGAATAGCTGCTTCTGTCAAGTGAATCACTTGGCAGCCTTGCTGATACAAGGCAGAGGAGAAAAAAAATTGGGACAATAGTGATATTGCCTATAATCCAACACAGCTCCAAGATTTTTCTCTTTCACTTCATTTTTTTTAAACCTTTAACACTTGTGTTTTCACTTTGAGGCTGGAGACATTATCTTATTCACAATTCAATCACTGGCATTTAGGATATTATGTAGCAAATAGAAGATACTTTTTAAATGTTGTTTAATAAGTGGATAAATTAGGGCATATATAGATTCCTGAAACTATCCCCATGCTACCAGAGCAACCAGCTAGCAAGCAAAAACAAAACAGAACTTTGAACTATTTTCTAAACCTCCCCATGTCAATTAAATGAAATCCCAAACCCACTGGTATGCAAATTTTATTTTGTTTCTTAGTGATGTAAATCTAGACAGAACAGTTAGTAGATTCTTCTGTTGTTTCAAGAAGTGCAAAGGTAATTCAGTCACAGTTTGCCACCCTCAAGAACTCCCACTTAAAATGAAGTCACAAGCAAAGCCTTTTTACTATACAAAACTTCCCTTTTATAGAGTTTGCTTAAAAATGTAAGCAATTTCACAGCCGGAAGATCTGAGTAATTTCTTAAAGGTCATATTTCCCTCCAAAATTGGTTTCTTCACCCTTCCATTCTCATTGTACTCGGTAGAATTCCTTATTGTTTAATGTTGAATTTAAGGTTATGAGAACTTTCAAGTCATGTACTTTGCTCTCTGGGAGCAGAATTTTCTTACAAGCAAATAAGTAACAAGGTAACATTCTTACCTTGTTCTTGTGCGCGAACAGCACCCCCTGACACACATAGCACAATAAAATGAAGCAGCAGTTTCCTAAAAAAAGAAAAATAATTGGGGAAAACTTAGTTGGACATTTATTATCTATAATATAAAATCCAAAATGAACTCTACAGCATGATTAAGAATTAAGCTATTATTTCCATTAACACTGTATTTTAATATTCATATTGGTTAAAAGCCAGGGCTCTGAATTTAAGCTTCAGCTTTGCCATTTACGATGTGTCTTGGGCACATTTTTTAATCACTCTGTGCCCCAATTTCTTCATCTATTAAATCTATCTCATAAGGTTTTTTGAAGACTAAGAAACTTCATGTAAAGCACACGAAACCGTACTTGGCACACAGGAAACACTCCATAAATACGAACTAGTATAGGTGATCTTATTAGTAGTAATAGTATATATTATGTCAAATTACCACACATGCAATTTTATACAAAGTAATACAAATTTACACAAAAATAGCACAATTTACAGTCACTTAACCGTAGTGATTATAAATTGATAGAACCAGTTATTTAAATATTTTTATGTAAAATCTATTTGAATATCATATTCAAAACACCTGTACTAGACTCATGATTCTTTGTTTCTGAAAATAGTAACAACCTGTAAATGCTAAACATAGTGACTAGCAGTAACTGAGCACAATACTCAGCTACTATATATCAAAATGTTCACTTACATTGATTAGCAAGGTAAAAATATTTTGTGTTTTTTTTATTAGTATAACCAAACTTTTGATAGGTTTTGTTGATTACTCCTTGTAATTGGCTGTATTTACCTCCCAACTGAAAAATCATAGTTTCAAAAAGTAATGACAAGGATGCTGAGAACAATATTACCTAGTCTTTCTTGCTAATATAGACCCTGATTTTTGTTTTTTATTCTAACCCAGAGACTCCTCAAATGACATTTTCAAAAATACAGTCCTGCAAAGACTGATTACAGAGCCCTCTGAAAATCAGTTTTCTTTTTATTAAGTTACTGAGGTGCTAGCAGTAATTTGTAATTTTCTATTTATTACCAGTACTATGTTTTCACCTTTATTAAGGAGAATAAGGGACATCTTAATATAAGAATATAGAATTATATTATAATTGTGTGCTTATATACAATATACAATTGTACTAATTCTCCTTGCTATATTGAAAATATCACTTATATTCAAATAGTATTAACAATTTTTAGTAAGTGAAAAATGCAAATTCTATGGTCATACTCAGTAGAGTACAGCTAAATATTAAGATTGATAGAATACTTAACTGTCATTAACTCTATAAACTAATCAACTGAATAGTCAGAAATTTCAACTGATATGGCAAATAGCTGAACCATATATTTTAATGAAGCCTGTAAAAGGCTCCCATATATTATGTCCCCCATTTAGAAAAATGGTTCTCAAATGTTAGTCTGCCAAAGAACCACCTGAGGTTTTCGCAAAAAGTCCAGATTCTAAGCCTTGCCACACAGATTATGATTCATACATTTGGAGCAGATTCTCAGCATGCATATATTTTTAACCAGGTGATCCCACTATTGATTGTGTGTGTACCAATCTGAGAAAAAAAACTAAAAACATTTACTATTTACATTGTACTTAAAATATACTTTTTATTTTGCGTAAATCACATATATCTAATTTCATGGCACGAATAAGATGTGACACTTCCATAAAAATCCAGATCTGGCTTCCACACATGATTGTGTTATCAGAATCACCTGGAGGGCTTAAAAAAGATTGCTGGGCCCCACCCTGAGAGTTTGACTCAGGTTTGGGTGGGGCTCGGAATTTGCTTTTATAACAATTTCCCAGGCAATGCTGAGGCTGCTCACCTGGGCAATCCCAGTCTGAGGACCTCTGTTCTGGAAGAGAGAAGCTCAGGAGACGATGTGAGGCCTACCTGTTTCAGGTCTTTTTACCACAACTGCACAGTGGAATCACTTGGTGACTTTTAAAAACTACTAACACCCGGGTCCTGCCCTCCCCACCTCCACCCTCAGACTGATTTTGTCTCTGGTACACGGAGTTGTAAACACTTCCCAGGTGATTCTAATGTACAAAGTTAAGGACCACTGTGTGAATTTAAGATCATTTCTTTGGGTTCTCCAAGATGTAACCCCAAATATGATCTAGAGTTTGAGTAAAGGAGTCTCTTTTCCTTGCAAATTTATGTTTTCAACAAGTAACTGGCAGGATAGATATCAGTAAGACTAGAAAACAGCTCAAGATTACAGTCACTGAAGGAGCGTTCATCAGAATTACACTGTGTTAGTAGAAAGTGGACTGTGAAAAGGAGCACGCCTCACCTGCCCAAAGTAACCCCGCTCACTGCCAGCTGAGAAAACCACCCAACAGGCACTCATCTGAATAAAGCTAACTAACGAAGAGCACGCCAGCTGGCACTAATTCCTTAGAGATTCAGCCAACTCAGACTTCCCCAGTGGCCGCAGGGGAGGAAAATGGAAAATGAAGTTCCTTCCAGACATGTTAACAAGTCCATTCCTGGCGTGAGGCAGGAACACCTGAACACATCAAACATCACCCCTGAGCCAGGTGATGCTAGGATTTATGACACATCAGTCCAGCCTCACCTTATGTAAGTGTACCTATGTACTAATCTGATGACTAACAGAGAAGTAGAGATCAATGATATGAAATAGAGATTTTCTTTCTCTTTTTCTAATTCTGCCCAGAACGAATAGCCAATTATTGGGCTGCACCCCACAGGCCTGCAAGTCTCATAGCTGCCCAGCCTCCATACTAAAGAAAGGGCTCGAAACAGTGGCAGAGACACCAGTAGTTATTGGATAGGGAATCTTACAAGTCTGAAGCAAAAGGTCCTGGAGCAACACCCCAACGGCACCCGGCAGACAGCAGGCAGGACATGGTAAGACTCCCGCTACTCTGGAGGAGGAGGCTACAATTTATAGGGGAAATGACGTCAGGCTGGCTCATCAGTTACCAGGGAAACCAGCAGCTGGGGCAGGGGGCAAGCACGTAGGCAGTTACTAATTGAGCCCTCTGATTAAGAGGATTGGATAGTCATGTGAGTGAAGCAGCAGATACACAGGAGCAAGAGAGCTGCCCTTCAAGATGGCCTGACCATACAGCGAAGGAAGAACGTGAAAAGTCAAGTTCCTCGCTGGTGTTCAAGGCCCTTATCATTCAGCTCCAACCTCCCTTTTTTAGCAATATGGATCCAATTACACCTGACACCCCAAAGCACTAGCCATACCACGTCATTCTGTATTTCACGCACGGACCTTGTAAGTACCTGAAAAGTTCTCTCAGTCTCCACCTGTCAGAATTTTCAGTGTTATCAAAGCCTAATTTGAACACCTGCTTCATGAATTTTCCCATCATCCCTCAAGAGGACTGGATCTTTTCCTCGCCTCTATACTCTTGACAGTTTAATTAAAACTTTATTACAGCCCATGTATGTTGTGCCTTTTATGATTAATTAGTAAGTAAATATCTGAGCAAGTAACAGGTCTTCACCTTTTATCCATTTCTTACATGAAATTGACACAATAAATATTTTTAAACCGGAACAGAGTAATAGCAAGACCTCTCGATGACTGAGGAATTCAGCTTTTCCCTATGAACCTAATTCTCCTAACACTTCGGAAAAGTTAGGTAAAATGAAGATGCTTTTTGTTGAACTTCCAAAAAGGGAAAGGAGAATTTTTTTAAAATCTGCTGTGGAAAGTTTGCTTCTTCTCTCTCTCTCTCTTCTTTTTTTTTTTCATTTTAACTGTTTTTCTCATTTCTGAAGTGGGAACACAGAGAAGAGATCAAGCGGAATTGACACAATCAGCTTGATAAAGAGCCCAACTCCATCACTGAATAAAATGGATTAATCCAAGCTTTCTGGGAATCGTCTACTTAAGTTGGACTTGTTTATTCCTTTGCTTTTGCCCCTCCACCCATGATACTACACTTATGATACATTCACTTAATAAAGAAAAAAGATCAGCTCTCCACATTAGCAGACGATGGAGTTCTCACGAGCAGCAGCTGTGCTCTGGGCTTCTCCCCTGTTGTGCCGTGCATGTTGTACTGGACACGCTGGAGTCCTTGAGTAAGTTAAATTTAAAACTGTGTTAAGTTGTTGCAGAGAAAACAACATGGTTAATAAGGAAATAACACTAGACTAGGAGTTAAAAGACTAATCCTGGTTCTATTTCAAACTCATTGTGTGACCTTGGGAGGGTCAAGTTTTTGAGTCTTAGCTGACTCATCTAATTTGTGATGACATAATAAATTTTACATCTTAAACTCCAAATATAAAACCCTAAAATGTGTGTGTATGGTGGGATCCTATTAATATACTGGCATTAGAGGACAAAGATCAAATTACATACTTAGCAAGATGTTCTGTAAATCACTATAAATAAAGGACATGTTTTACCACAACTCGGGAAAGAGCTTCCTACAGTTCTCGCCAGTTCTTTTTTAATTAAGTAACATAAAATTAAGCCTACTAGGTTTGCTAACATGTTCACATATTTAGTTAAACCTAACAAAAAAATCTAGTTAGTGTACTAAATAAGAATATGTTTCAAATTTTCAAACCATGTCTGTTTTTGTTCACTTTTTTGTATGTCTGGACCATGTGTCCTTAATATAAAGTAACAGAAGTACATAAACTCACACAGTTGACAAAATCAGACCAGGTTTGAAAGAAGTTAATATGGTAAGAAACATTCAATAAAAGGTCAGAAAACATAACCCATAATGTTAATATCTGAGAATATCTAACAAAATGTGAAATACTCTGTATGTCTGGTCTGCTAGCCACATTTTCGGTTTGACACAAGCCACAGTCAAAACATGACCAGACATGTGAAGGTAAAAGCCTAAAGGGGGTTGGGCAGGAAACAGATATCCAAAGGCCATACTCAGAATATTTAAGGAACTAATATCCATCCCCGCACCTTCCCTGAGTAATTCTTAGAGCTGTTCAACCTTCTCTTTCTCTGAAGGGTCTAAGTTAACTTGGGGGAATTTCGGGCATCTTTTATCTTTTGGGCACCTCTGAGGCTCTCAGGTATTATGATATATGTCTTCAGGCTACTGATGCTCATTCAGACAAAGGTTCCATTTGTGAATAAGAGTTTTTTTGTTTTTCTGTTTCTTAAGTGCACTGGTGGTTTTCACTTAAGCAAACTGGAAAAAGTAAACTAATCTGAAAAACATACATATGTAATATATATCAAGAATTTCAACAATTTCCATCGCACTATATTTACAAGCCAAAAATTTCTCTGTCATTACAGCTTTACAGATTTTGCTCTTTACTACCTGCTAAGATCCAGAAATAGTTAAAATTTCTGCCCTTTGTCCCCCCAAATAATTGAAAAACAGTTATCCTAGCAGTGGGGATAAAGCTGGATGATTCAGGGAGTAAAGCGTTGTCAATATTATATACAATGAATTTCTTAGACCATCAATCAACTCAATAGGTGCTTGTATAACTAATCTAGTGTGAGACATACTAGAACTTCTGGTTAAATTCCAAGCATACAGGCAATTCATGACATGCAAGGGAGATAAACGCTTAAGGACTTCAAGTGATCATTTTCTGTTTCCTATACTAAATTCGGCACATTGGGAAGGCAGCAACTGTGCTTCTGTCTTGCTCAATCATCATACCCCTCTTGCCTGGAACCATGCTAGATATATAGCTGGAGCTCAGTAAACATTTGTTGAATAAATGAGTGAATAAACAATAAGTGAGTGAATGACAGAATGTTGGCCTTTTATGAGAATGAAAATGAAATCTTCACTTCTCAGAGTTACAAATTCTAAAATAAGTCATAGTTGCAAAGCATGGCAAGGAAACTAGCACAGCTATTCTAATCTACATAATAAAAAGTATTATTCTAGAGGGGAGGGTAGAACAGTGGTAGAGCACATGCTTAGCATGCAGAAGGTCCTGGGTTCAATCCCCAGTACCTCCATTAAAAGAAGAAATAAAATAGGTAAATAAATAAGCCTAATTAACTTCTCCCCTAAAAAAAGTGTTATTCTCTTGCAGCCTCACAGATTACTAAGCAGAATGTATAAATTACACTCAAAATTACTTTCTATAAATTACAATTCCTCTCCCTGAGACATCAGTTTATTTTAAACAGTTATTTGAACCCAAACATAACTAAGAAATTTTAAACATAGAATTTTCTGCTAGTTAGGAAACAGATCTTTATACCCCAAACTTTTTTACCCCTTTGGTTATAGAAACTCTTTAATGACTCTTTAATATTCTGCCTGGGAGACTTTCTGACAATATGTTTAATTAGTATATCTAACACTGACTTTTGGTTTTAATTTTTTCTATTAACTCTGCAAATTCTCACTAGATAATCCATCTAAAAGAAGCCCTTTGAAATAAAGTGTCTTTAAGAATCCAGTTTTAAAACTGTGAATGATTTCAGGTGACTAATCAGAATTGTGATTTTAAAAAACTGCCCCTGTTCTTACAGAACATCACCATGAAAGGATGGTGGAAAACAAAACGTCAGGGATTTCAATAGGCACTCTAAAGGTTATAATTCAGTGGCCTGATATTGTCATCAGCTAATCAGCTGCTTCTCCCAAGTCCCTTTCCCATCGGGTTGATAGCATTTATTTCAAACTGCAGAACTCTGAAGTCTTTATGGAAATTGGATTTTTTTCAAGAAACAATTTTCTCAGCTCAGTCAGTAACTACCTTTTCCCCACTTTGCATATGTGTGGTTGGAGCTGCAACCTGATGTGATTTTGAATTACTCTTTATTCTCTGCAGCCCACCCCTGCAGGCAACTGTCGTGGAATGGCCTGGACACCCCAGGAGGCTGCAAGGCCCCGGCTAGCAGCAGAACAAGGGAGCCGAGGGCCTTCATCCAAGATCCCCTACCCACCCCGGTGTCTCTCCACAAGGGCTGCTTTTGTCCCCCCACCCCAATCCACGTAGCCTAATTTTCCCTCAGAAGTTCCTCGGTGTAATCCACTCTGTTCGGTTTCTCTGCCTCCCTCCCCTCAATCATCTGGACCCAATTTACAAACCCCAAACTGCCCAAGAATTTATGCGGGGCCTTTTCTGGGAGCGTCTGGAAGGGAAGTGTAAACCAGACAAGACAGAGGCTAGGAGCTGAAGATCCGCTTTCATCTGCGAGGTTGGTCACAACTACCACGGGGAAAGTTAGTCAGCAACATGGGCCTGGCGCAGTGGGGAAGGGAAAGCCCTGGGGCGGGAGCTGGCAGGGAGGGCAAAGGAGGGCACAGGGAGGCAGGCGGAGCCTGCGGCCGGACAGGAGGTAGAGGGCCTCACACAGTCTCTTCTGGTGGTTCTGGACTCGCGGGGACCCCAGCCTCTCATTCCACCATTCTACCCGCCCTGGGCCGGCGGGAAGATGCATCAGGTCCCTGAGGATCCGCTGCGCCCCTCTCCCCGCTTTCCCGGCGGGTCCATGCAAGGGACTTTAATGGAGAAAAGTGGTGGCAAATCTGACTGGGAAACCGAAGAGACCCGTGTGAGCGGCACTGCGTCAGGCGGTCCGCAGAGTGTGGCCTCTTCTCTTCTCGGACCCTGGCAGAGACATCTCGAGTCTCCCCGGCCCCAGGCACCTCGCCTCAGGCACGCGGTTGCAGGGGTTACGAGAATTCCCCTCACTGATTCATTCTGCTGCTGGAGCAGGGGCATGAGCATCCTTCTCAGCGGGGAAGCCGGCCGCCTGCCCAGGCTTCCAGAGGTCGGAGGAGAGGAGACAGCGCATGAACCCCAGCCAGGCTCGGCTGCATGCGGTTGGGAAGCACATGTTCATACAAACACTGCCACAAGGCGGTCTTTCAGCGCACCCCGCCTCCGCCTGCCCTTAGCTGGCATGGTCAGTTCTGCCCCCTTCCCTCCTCCCACCTACTCTCCCGAGGGGCAGCCTCGCGGCAGAGAACGGCCACAGTTGCTTTCGTCCTTCCCGCCCCCGAGGCCAGAAACAAACTTGCTTAACCCACTGACCTCTTCCAGGGGGACCAGAGCAGCCAGCCA